ATATGTATGTATGTATGTATGTATGTATGTATGTATATATGTATTCTATGGGAATTGTAAGGATAGAAGATTGAATCTCTCTTAAATATGCTCATTTTTTAAAGTAAATATTCTAAAAAAAGATTTAAAGTGCAGCTGGCTCGCTCTGTGCCGTGTTTCAAAGAAGAAATAGCGATAAGATATCGCGCGTTTGCAAGTGTAGACGTTCGTATCACGCTTTTAATATAAATAACAAAAAGTTGCGATCCAATTTCTTCATTACTTTCAAATTTATTCTAGAAAATGCATTTTTGGTAATATAAAATATGATAAAATAACATATAAAATATTTTTCCAGATGACCTCTATATCAATAAAATTTATAATATTGAACTTGATTATACTTTGGGATACGACACACGGATTGACAGGATATTATTGTGAATTTCCATTAGAAATTGGTACAGTATCATTATTGGACATAGAACAGTGTACTCGAGGAACAGTGGGAGTAATGTCGGACACTTATCTTCAATTCTTGCGAATACCCCAAAACGGTGCTTCTGATTGTGATTTTGATCGGTATAATATTTTGCACGAAGGAATGGGAAAGAAATTGAACGGTGCAAATCTCTTTTATCCTACAGTTTTCGCCGGTATTATGGAAAATGTTACATTCGCACTAAGAAGTACAGGAATTCAAATTGTATGTGATCGTATGTTTCATACGACAGAATATTCAGAATTATTAATTTACGAAACCAGCAAAAAGTCGTCGCCCGCTAGAAAACGAAAAACAGCTACAGATCACATCGATATATTTATGTATGTCAATGAGAAATTTGTCTATCCAAACGTAATTTTAAAAGATTTTGCATTACAAATGCAACTGTTATATCACGATGTATTACTATATGAATGTTATAAAGAACGAGAAAAAATGAAACTTGCTTTAGTATCTTTTAATTCTAAATTGATTTCATCAGATTTATTTGCTTATTTTCTAACGAAATCGCGCGGTTATACGGTTGTGGCAAGAAGTGAAGTAGCATATATCATAAAATGTGTACCGGTACAAGTAACAATAAGAAAAACAAAATATTGCTACAACGACCTACCTGTATCATATCAAAATCATAATTATTTCTTAACGCCAATAACTCGCATATTAATACATAATGGCACCAAGATTGATTGCAAACCTAAAATGCCAGCAAAGTTTTTTATAGACAATAAATGGTATGAAGTACTCCCAGATCCGGAAATTGATGAAATTGAGACGACCGAATCAATCACAACATCAATATCGGATTTATTATCTCCCTTTCTTTTTTTCTATAATTTCACTGTTACATTAGGCTATATCATTATAGGGACGATATTCTTTGGCTGCTTGTTTCGTGAAGAAATCTGGGCTTTTCTTATATAAAGGCATTGTTACATTAGGCTATGTCTTTGTACTGTTGATAATTTTGTGCAGCTGGTTTCGTGAAAAAATCTTGCAGGAATAAAAAATGTTTATACACTTTGTAGAAAAAAATACTATAGGATGCATTAAATAAAAATATGTATATGGATTTCTATATAAGAAGATACACTATCTATACATATATTTATATATTTACATTAGTTATATATTTATGTATATATTATAATATATATACATGTATATATTTCTTTTTTCATTTATACAATTACAAGAAAAAAAATATAATCTCTCTCTCTCTTACTGAATTCTATACATAGAGATACATGTATAGAACATTTTTTATAAATTTGGGAATAAGTTTTAATATACATAATTTTTAAGATTATTATTAAAATGTAAGATTTATATATGAGATATGATAGTTATGAGAAAAAATTTGTATCTGCAGTTTCTGTGTTATTTTCAAGGATTTTAATATTAATGTTGTATATTATTCTCTCTATATGTCATTACATATACTTATAAAAAAATCTTTTAAATAGTTTTATAATGTATCTTTTTCAATAAAACTGATCATAAATCTGAACATAATATTTTAATATTTTATGTTCCTGTAATCGTTGAAGTTTTATTTCTATAGTCAAAATAGCTTGCTAAGTAAATGTCCTTTCTCTTTGCTGCTTAAGAATATTGGAATGTATTTAGCAGTAGAATTAGTTATTTAAGATCTTTTTTACTTTTTTCGTACTTTTAAACTTTGCTCTTTAACTTCAAAGCATACAACTTTATTATAAAAAAAGTACTAAACATTTACATATTTTCTCCCTGTACGGAAGAAAATTATATTGCTGCCTGTGATAAGACAAAAAGTTATAACTTTTCAGATTCGAAAATTAAATAATTTACAATTCAGAGCTACTTGCTTTTTTCAATTCCCGCCTAGTGAAAATACCAACTAACAATAAATGCTGAGATTTTTAAATTTGTTAAAGAAGAAAGATCCGAAAAAATATGAATATAATGCACAATTTATAAAAATATAATGATTGCATATATTAAATTATAGATAGTCTTTCCTGATTTGGCTTGCAATAATTTTACGACAAAGAGGCGCAAATATATAGATGCGCTTATATTCTTAAAGTGCATAACAGTTTAAGAAAGAATTAAACGACCGTTAGCTAAACCCACTTGATTAAATCTATATAGTATAGGCCATAGCAGCGACGCTTACATGCAATGTTGAACAGTTTACGACACACGTATCAAACGGACGACATAACACGGGATGATAGACGACGTATCAGTCAGTCCAATAAACAGGCAAACGGACAATATCTTGCAATGTGCACGGGCTTTCTCCAATAGATGCATATAACCTTCCTATTTACCCGGATACATGGGAAACCGGTTATTGGTCCATATTCGCAATAGGCAAATCAATACGTGCATATCGGAATATTCGTATTTGACTGATCGCAATACGATCGAGCGCGGAAACGAAAAATTCTTCGAAAATGTATATATAAACGATGCAATAAAAACATATGCATTTAATGGCGCGATTTTAGGAAATATTATTATTATCAAGACGGGAAAAATATATCTCTATATGTGGAAAATAATGATATTTATATCCAAACGCGAATGGCTTCTGTCCAAAAAAAAAAGTTTTCTTAAAGTGCATTACTACTTGTAACCGGCATTGGCGATCGGCAAATACAATTGTATATTATCAACGGTGATCCAATCGTGAGATTGGATCGGAGTCTCCGAGACCGCAAGTTTTCGGGGATTCCTGCCAGCCGGACCAAGCCGTGCGGTTAATTCGCTCTCGTGCACTTTGAAACTCGATAAGCTCACGGATTGCTCGTCATAATTGTAAACCAATGTCGTTACTGGCGATTCTACGCTAGGTTGCTCGCGACCAGATACCAGCTTAAGCGTAAGGCCATTTTCCGCTCATGAATGGAAAACAACGTCGAATATATATATGTGTTTTGACAGAGAGAGAAAGAGCATGCGTATCTGATAGCGTATCTTAAAGTCGCGATCGAATCGTGTGTTTCGACAATTTACGATATGCGTACATTCTCTAATCGTCAATTCATTATTTCTCGAGAGCGAGTTACTTCACGAAATGTGAATCCATTTTATGTAAATGATAAAGGACGATACGTGTAATAGTCTTCTTCATATACGAAAAGTTACGAAAGATTCATACGCCCAAGTTCCGTATTCCGCTCGTACTCTGGATTATTTCGCAGCACTTTTGCAAAGCGCAAAATGAGAGAAAGTCATAACACCCAAGCTTAATATTTTCAAGTAATTTCCTTCAATTTTCAGGAAACTTTCCCAGCGCAGTCACAATAGCGATTCTACGCTGTCAGAGTAGAAACGGCTTTATAATTTCGACGCGCGCGCGCGCGCGCGTGTCTTGTAATAACATCATTCTTTTTCAATCGTGTATTCAGTTATAAATTTTTCCTTCACAGAGTATTATATCGTAGAAGGAAGTTACGAAGAAAGAAAGTTATAAAGATAAAAATTGAACGTTAATTTTTAAATATTCAAATGGAATAATTTTTCAAAATAATACTTTAAAAACATATAACTGTAAAACATTAAAATAAAGAAAGATATATCTAATATGTTAAAGATTTCAAATTCTATTGATAAGAAAATTCGAGAAATGCGAAAGGCCTGTAGCCTTATTTTTCTTCTGTAAATGGCGTCATAATTTTTTAACTAATAAAAAGATATTAACTTCCGCTACCTAACAATAGACCAGCATTTCTCTCCAAATTCAGGACTGACGGTAAAAAAGTTAGGATAGAGTTAGGAAAAACTCTGCATAATGTGAACTGTAGAAGTTAGTTTCCTGTTTAGCAAGATGATTGGCTAGCGACCGACACGGTAGAACAGTTGGCTAATATCGCTCCCTCGTTTGAATTCGAACCACAATATTGCCGGGTGTCACGGCATCTTTATCGAAATTCCGGTTTTCATTGTTGAATATGTCGAGATTTGCGCGCGACTGAAATTGCTTTCGATTGCGGTGTGTTTGTTTAAACAACGCGTCGTTGAGGAGACACGGATTAACGAACTCGAAATCTCTTAAGACACATAGACTCATATATTTTCTGGGAAAATCCAGGAATAGTTTTATTCACGGTGAATTTCTCCGTCTTTTTCTTTAGCTAACAAATTCGACAAGTCAGCGGGTGAAATATTGGCACAACTGAGTTGTCTTTAAATGCGAGCAACAGCTTAGAACTTTCGCGACAGAACGTAATTCACCGAGAAAGGACCAATTGCCGATGTTGCTGGACATGCGCGCCGCTCGATTTGCAATTCAAGATGTAGTAAATTAGAAAGCGATCGAGAGAAAGATGCGCTCTCGAGAGCGCCCCAAGGTGGCCAAAACGTTTCACGAGTTCGCATTCAGATTGGATTTAATTACGAGCATCTCTATGACCGCGGTCCGGTCTTTTCTGATTGGATGTCCTGACGGTCGCATGAATCTGTGGTCTATGGGGTAAATAGAGGGAACTCGGGCGTGGCCGTTTTAGCGTTGCTGGCAAATGTCGGCCGAAAACCATAGGTCTTTAAAGATCGGATATACGTAGATAAAACGCATATAATATTCCAATTCAAAAAAAAAAAAATGAATAAATGATCTTAACAGATTCAAGATGGATTTTTACATGACAGAAACATTGAGAGAATTTATCGATTCGACCGATTGTTGATTTATTTTGTCAAGTAATTGTAAAATAATTGTTTTTTGAATAAATCTTGTATTTATAATGGACAATCTTGAATGACCGATGTAATTTTCTTGTTTTAAGAAAAATCTTGTCGGACTAAAAAAGTGTCGTCGTTCTTTTGACATCGCATTGTGACTATATAGCGGCCATATAGCATAAACAGCAAATGGAATATCATGAAAGCTGCGAATACGAAAAACTTTATATCTCGCCTCCGTCCTTTTTATTTCGCTTCGTCGTCGCTGAAAGTGTACATGCGCCGCGACACGCGTGCCTCTCACGTTGCACACACGGGGAGTGAGTGGTCCGTAAATTTCTATTTCTTTACGACTCTATATGTGCTCCAAACATGGACGTGTCGTGGCCGGGAAACCGCACGAAGAACCGCATTGCGGCGTTCGACAAAGAAATAAAGGGTATAAAAAAAAGAGAAAGATATTTATCTTCTGTATTCTTTTCCGGGCACTGCTAAGTGTGTAAAGAGATGTAAAGCGGAAAGAGTACGTAATTACCTATGCCGCAAGGTTTGCTGAAATAGTACGATAAAAGTATACGCTTAATTACGTTCTGAAAGTGATTTTAATAAAGATGTAAAAAGTATAACAGAGAAGAGAGAGAATGAAAATATAAGTTCACTCGAGTATAGTAGTCCTCGGTCGAGCTATTTGTGTGCTCGATATTTTTGCCGCCTTTGATCTCGCATTGTGTTAGGATAGTTTTAAAGTGCTCAACTTAAAAGTTTTCCAGTTACGCCTACGGGCCGATTCACCATCACGGTTTTTCTTAGGAACAGCTCAAACGATCCCCTTCCAAGCTGATGGTTCGCCGGTTTCACGTACTAACTGTGTCGGAACGAAAGGTATTTTTGACATATCGTGCGTCATGTGTACGCTTTGACAACTTTGACTTATCTCTATCGATTCGAGGGAGCACAATCAGAATTCGCAAGCGAATCCGAGTTATTATCGCGATTTGATTTTACAGCGAGAGAAAAAAAATTTAGATTTCTCTCTTTATACAGAGAAATGTAAAGAGACAGAGAGACAAAGGGTTGTTCGTGAAGTCCGCGTTGGATATTTCTACAATTACGTGTTTTATACATTTTCACGTCGAGGATACCGATGAAAAATATTGTAACTGTATTTCTGAATCACACACACATAAAAAATATAATTTCACAAAGATAAAATTTCTCACTCGTAATAATCCCGAACTCTCACAATTTCCATTTTGTGGCGAGAAGCTATTGTACCAGTCTTTTGAATAGTTATACAATTTTACCGTTACAATATCACCTTTCACTGCGATATTATCGATATATATAGCAAGTATATAATTTCTGCACGCGATTCCATGACTGCAACCGTATAAAAGAGGGATGGTGGAAAGTACAGAGGTTACACGCACACCTCGATATATACCTGTAGAGATGCCGCTGTAAGGATTCCGTGTGGTTACTCTACACCGGCTTTTATCGAGACGAACGACGTGTGACGACAAGAGAATGGAAAATTGATGTATTTCCTCTCACCGAAGTTTCCACGATTATATACAACGCGATTATATAGCAACGCGTGGAATACCTCGATTTCACGCGGCTGGTGACGCAAGCGCCTTAATCCGTTGATGCGCTATTCAATTTGCATCTTCTTCCAAATTTACACGCACGAGATAATGTAGTATAATACAGCGCAGTTTTATATATATATATATAAATTGTGATGCTGTAATGCCGAGATAATCCGACGAATGCGTATGAGATATACGCAACAAAAATCTCAACAATGGAACAATGCATCCCAAATTGTAGTAATGTAATTATATGAAAGCTCTAGGATTGTTACATCTCCGGTTTAGAATCTCTGGACAAAGGGAAGAAAATCTCCAGACCGAATTTTATATAATTTTCTTTTTATTCATTTATACTATTTCATGTTTCTGACCGCAATATTTATTTTGTAGCCATTTATCGCGCGCGTATTTGATCATGCAATCTGTTTTTTAGAGGACGACCAACTTTCACACCGACGATTTGATCAAAGCGCGCATCGGAGAATTAAGCAACACGTACGCGCGTGCAATTGCATAAACATTCGTGTTTCATTATCAATATCGTTACTTGGCAACACTCCATTACGAACAGGCGAGCGACATTAATTCATAGCGACTACCCGGCATTTACGAACGGACGATGAATCGTCACCGCAATCGTGTTTAAAATTTGCGGTTTACCGTATCTGCAGCGATAATATATAGATCGTCCTCATCACGTATCCATTCGAGACGCGAATGGAAATGTAATTTAAAAATTGATTAGAAATTAGGATGTTAGGGCAGGATAATGGCAGCGTTCGATAAAATACGAACAACGACAACGAGAGTATCCCGTTTATTTGCGAGAAAAAGATACGTACATCGACGTATCTAGTGTTCCAATAAGCTCTCCGGCCAGCTGTTACGCGTCGCGTTTAACGCAATTAAACAAAACCGCGCATCGCAAACGCGGCTCTTTATTGCTCATCAGCAGGCGGGACTCAATTAGGGGCGGCCGCGAATTTGCATAAATAGTGCGGAACGAGCGTCGCATCCGCACGAACGTTGCACCGGCTGTTCGAATGCCGATCGTAATCGCTCGCCGATATACACAGGATGCCCGATAACGTCCAACGTTAATTTAACGAAAGCCTTTTTTCCCCGATAAATTTCCGCACACCGCGGAAACTTTTTCCAACGAAAAATCTATTTAACACGAAGAGAAAATCCGTCGCATTCTCGCATGTCGTGCACTTTATTAATTTATTAAACAATCATGATAAAAAAAATTGGATCTCTCGAATCAAAGTTCTCCGCGAGAGAGGGAAATTCTGTTCGGATTTACGGCTTTGTGATTTAATCGGTCGCGCGAGAATCTATCGTTAAAATTAAGGTCAGAGATATATTGTGTGGAACACACACCCGGTGTACCCTCTGTCCTCGCGTAATCGGGCCTCGCACTATCTCAATTAATTGCCGTCACATTATTTGCGGTCGACGGAGCTTGCCGAACCCCGGCTTTCAACCGCGCTCATTCATCGAGCGCGGGCGGGTTCCAACGAAATCGGTTAATTCCGGATTATCCGAATCGCAAAATGGCCCTTGCTTTGGTCCTTTCGCGCCACGGTTCAATTTGCGCGCGATTAGATAACGAGAGCTGACACTGACGGTGATAATCGCGATTATATCACTCGCAGGGTTCGTGAGAAGAGGAAAGATTTGTCCGAAAGTATAATATCATTTTTTTTTTTTTTTTTTTTTTTATTTTTTGTTCCAATTTAACGTAACCGTGATTGTTCATATCTTTATATGTTAAATTTCGTTCCAAGAACAACAAAGAGAGAGAGATATATACAAACAGTATTTTAATTTAAGAGCTAAAGGTTCTGATGAATCAAGCTACAAGAACGAAACTTTATTTCCAGTTAATTTCAAAGAGAATTTATCTCGATAGGAATCTAGTTCGGGAGTTACTCTTATTGAGATATTTAATGTTGAAAATTTGAAAGTTCAGGGAATTAATCTCTTAGGAAGAGAGTTTACGACTGGGAATCAAATGGATCTCGATATTTTCTCATTTCTCTAAAACTGTTGTACTGACGTACACATACGGAGTTTGTACGTTCAATATATAATCTTTTTTTAAACGTCTAATTAATGTGCGCTCTAAATCATGTAATTTTCTGATGGAGAGGGAGATCTCCTCGAATCTTTATTGCAGTGTAAACACGGAACGTATTTTTTTATTTTTTTTTTTGACTGAGTTCTTCACGGGAACAACAAATAACTCGAGTTTTTACGCTGATTCGTTTAACGATAACAAATCACTGCGTCGAACCTGGACGAATGAAATCGAGCGATTCGTTAACAGGGATATTTTTACGATCATAAATATGGCCGTAAGCGCCGAAGGGGTCGCCGACGCGCGACCTCGTATTTATATAGTGACATTTTGTTCTGCCATCATCAAATATTATTACACATTATTCTGCGGCAAACCCTATTCGACCACCCGTTCATTTCGTCAGTCATTAAAGCACAATCAAGTCGTGTCGCGAATTGATGTGCTCACAGTATGTGTGCATCCATGCACTCTCCTCTCCCGCCCCCTCTATTGAAATCACTTACATAAATGTTACAGCGCGCAACGAATTTATTCGTTGATTTTTGCAAAGCGTCACTAGCGATTTTACGCAGGCAAGCGAGTAATAATCGATCGGCAATAATTAATCATCATGATGCGAGACACGCGCTATACAATAATATCGATATTGATTCCCTCGATCGATTCTACAAAACTGCGCTCGATATAACCAACGAGTAACAAGTGATAAATTATCACGCGCGAATCTCATTTCGCGTAAAGTGCTCGTCGATTAATTGCAGCCACTTTATTTATCAGGAAAGTACATATATCACACCGCGTGGACGTGTTTCCTCTTGTACGTATCCGACATTAATATCGTTTAGTATTACGTATAGATAATATTTGCTTCCCTCTATTTTATATTGTTATTGCATATTCTCTTTGTTATATTTTTCTACCTTTTTTATTTTTTTTTATTGTATAGTTTATTATTTATCTACTACGTTTTTGTTATTTTTTTTTTATTGTATAGTTTATTATTTATCTACTACGTTTTTGTTGTTTTTTTTTTTATTGTATAGTTTATTATTTATCTACTACGTTTTTGTTATTTTTTTTTTATTGTATAGTTTATTATTTATCTACTATGTTTTTTTTTTTTTATTGTATAGTTTATTATTTATCTACTACAGTTTGTTGTTCAAATATTTTCCGTTACATTGTTAAATTTTGCTGCATGGCCGTGTTCAGGTTCTTATTCGGTAAATAGGATAACGCGCGATAAATTAGTTTAACCTCGATATATCTCTCGAGAGATTGAAATAATATTTTCATTTCTCTGCGCGCGGCATGCATAGACAGCTTTTGACGCTTATATGGACATTTATTGTATTACTGTATTATCTGCATTAGATCTTTTCTTTCTTTTAATTTTTTAATCATTGAGATTTTTGCTCAGATATAAAAATAAATATTTATTGACGCAATATATTTTATACTCTCGACGTGTGACAAATTTCAGTTATTATATACAAAAAAAACTTGTTAAAAAATGATGTATTAATGTTATTTGTCGAAAAAAATAGTGTTGTCGAATCTGAAAATTGTCTCGCTATAATAACTAATCGATTTTTATTCCATCATCAAAGCAGTCACGGTCTCGTTGCAATAGCAAAATAAATTCGATAGGAGTGAACAATTTTGCTTTAGTAGCAAACTCGCATCTCTCTGTATGAAAATTTATTCAATAAAATTTTTCTATCTCATACAAAACAGATTTTGCTGTAATATTGTTGTATAATTGGTTATAGCAGCAAAATTTGATCGTTTTTAGATCGAATATGCAATAACAGCGAGACCATTTTGTGCTGCGAGAGCAAAATCCTCTTTTTCTGCTCGTGTGCATATATTAGAGATTTTTACCAACCCATTTATATTGCGACTGAATCACAAAATAAATTCCGCAAAAATATCTATGCGTCTCGATACGAATAATCATATCGCGAACCAAACACAATCGGGGATAATTCGAGGATATTATTGCCATCATAGTCTCTCTAAATATACATTTACGGCTCGTGTCCATATGTATAGTATTTTGTAGCCCGCATCATTTCAACGGATTATCGTGGGCTGATTTCCAATAGAGAAACAAGCGGATAGACACCTCGTCCGCTCGTCTCGTACTCGTATTTATCCGCTCGCTCGCGCATTCAACCCAGT